CTTTTTAAATTTTGTTTTAAAAAAAAAAAAAAAGTTGTAAAATTATATAACAATAAAGGAAGAAATAATTAATTGATACGTTTAATAAAAAATTTATTTATTTTTCTCAATGAATTTTTAGAGCCGCCATATTTATTATTATTATTATTATTATTTATGAATGGAAAAAAAGGACAGTAGGAATCGTAGTAGTAGTAGTAGTAGTAGTAGTAGGAGTAGAAAATGTTTACAAACAAAAAAACTTTTTAACGGGATCAACGAGGATTTTTTTTCCATTTAAAAGGTATTATTATTATTATTAAAATTTATTTAATTTAATTTAAAATATGGGAAATTTTCCCACGGTTGTTACTTAATTAATTTTTCTCCCACAGGATAGAAATGAAAATTCGATCTGGATATGATTAACACAAGTTTCATCATTCCTTTGACATCTTTTTCAAAATTGAACGTTAAAAATTTTTTAAAATGGACGACGATTACGGGTATTTTATTGAGTAAGAGAGAGATAGAAAATTATAAATTCAATAATCGAGTAATACCGGATAATAATATGTTGCGAAAACAAAAAAAGTCGTTTTTCCACACTACGTAAGTTAAGTACAAATTTTCATTTTTTCCAAAATAATACGTTCGAATCTCGATTAGGGAAAATAATTCGAGAATTTTCTTTTTGTTACGAAAATCGAGATTTAAACGTTAAAATTTTCCCCAAGGCTGATTGATACTCTCAGTTAAACAAAAAACGTATTAAAAAAAAAAAAACATTGACAGAGAATTTAAATCTAGCGTACAAACTTCAAACAACCGCGAAATTATTTCTGCGTAAAAATTCTATTTAAAGTTGTTTTTTTTTTGCAACAAACGTTTGTTTGTTTGTTTGTACGTAAGATAAATCTCAACGCGCGTTGTTAATGTTTGGTAACTCATAAGATAATATCATTGTAAGTTGATTACATTTCCCTATGTTAATTAATTTTTAAAAACGTTTTTCTTATCGTGTGTGTCAAACCATGTGATGATGTTTTTAAAAAAAAATTATTCGTGTTTTCTCTTCTTTCATCTTTTTCTTATTCATTTTTTTCCCTATCTCTCTCTCTCTCTCTCTCTCTCTCGCTCTCGCGTTCGTATAAACAACACACATTCTCGTATAAGATAAAAAAAAAAAAAAAAAAAAAAGAAAATTTAGGTTAAATTTCTCTTAATAGTTACTATTATTATTATTATTATTATTAATTGATATATCTCATCGTTTGTAGCAGACGACGACGATATTTACCGTTTTTTTTTTTTCTTCTCAATAGTGAGTACATGTAAATTTAATCAATGTTTTTTTTTTTTTTTTTTTTTTTTTAAATGATAAAATTTTATTTACCGCTAAGTAACATCATTTTATTTAATGGAACACTTTTTAATTCGTTTTTTTTTTTTTTAACCTCGTTTTAAATAATAATAATAATAATAATAATAATAATAATAAAATGTAAGAGTTTTACACGGGGTTTAATTTTTAGAAGAAAAAATTTTCAAACTTCTTTAATTTTTGATTCGTGGCATTGAAAAGTTAAAAAAAAAAGAAAAAAATTTTTGCGACAATTTTTTTTTTTTATTTTTGATAAAGTTGCGACAATTTAAATTTCCCCCATTTTTGTTTATTTATTTTCATTTTTCAAATCCAGTTTTATTTTTTTTATTTATCGTTTTTGTATATCGTTTAACAACAAAATATTTATTTAAAAAAAAAAAAAAAAATGATGCGATTTAATAACAAAATAATCGTTTTAAACAATTGAAAAAAAAATGGCGGAGTTTAATTAAGAAAAATTATGTAATGAGTGGAGATTAAAATTATTATTATTAATCTCTACGAAAAAATTCGCGATTCGATTTTGTTATTTTGAAAAGTTCGTTAAAAAATTTAACAGATTTTGTGATGATGATGATGATGATGATTATAAAATTAACGTTATTTAAATAATAATAATAATGTCACCTAACGTTAAAATTAAAAAATTTCTCGAGATATCTCGTTCACGACGATAATCATTTGAATTTTGGCTAACATTAATGGAAATTTTTTTTAAGGAGAAACGACAAGAACAACAACAACTCCAACTCCTTCTTCTTTCATAAAACATGTCTCAGGAAGTGAAAAAGCAAAAATTGGTGAGTGATTTTTAAATTAAAATAATCATCTGCCATTTTTAATCATAATTTTCATTCTCATTCTTCACAAATTTCATTTCTTACAATCAAATTTTCATTAACTTAATTATCATTTTGAGGTTTTCAATAGGTTATGCAATCGAGTGAAAAATAAAATTCAAGGTTAAGGTTGTAATTGTATTGTAACATATTTTTTAAAAAACCTTGAAAATAGTGTCATGTTAAAAATTTCAAACAAAATCACATGAATTGTCTCTTTAAAAAAACAAAAAAATATTTTTTTCGTTTCCTTTTCGAAATGTTATTGTTATTGTTACAAAATTTTTAATATGGTGAAGAAAAACTTTTGTATTTCCATAAACCTATATTGAAAGAAATTTCTGGAACAATTTTATCGATTTCTTTTGTTTCATTTAATTTTTCACCTTCTTTTCACAGTCTTTATCGAGATGTTGATTTCTTTACATTTACATTTACTAACAGGTGGATTAATTTTTGTTTTTTTTGTGTAGACTTTAAGTAGAAAATAAGATTTTAAAGGATTTTTCTTGTGGTATTACACATTCTCAACATGGCTTCATTATCGTTATCACTTTAATGTTTCTTCCATTTTGTTCGATTTTGTTTGATTATAAATTTGACACTCGTATTTAAAAGAGGTTATATTTGAACCATTTTGAAAAATTTTTATCATCTTTGATAATTTACAGTTGATCTTATAATTATTGACAATTTTCCATTTCACTCAAATGAATGTATCGAAAAAAAAAATTTTGTCATTTTAATATCCTTTGTGTAAATCAATTCATATAAATTCCCCATATGTGATTTTATTTGAAACTCATACTGAACCAACTTTTATTCGACAATATAGTTATCAAAGTTAATAAAAATTATGAGTTTTCCATCATGGAGGTTATCGAAACCTGCAAAAGGTGACTTTAAGATTGTTGTCGCTCATTAATTAACAAATCGCTTTACTCTTCGATAAATTTTCTTATTCCTTTGTATTCATACAATTCGAAGTGCATGTGTAAAGTGAAAATGATTTCACACACAAAAGTTTCTTTTTCTTCCTCTTATTATTATTATTATTATTATTATTATGGAAATATAAAAATTTTAATGGCACAAAATAATATGTTTTTTATTATTATTATTATTTTTTAAATTAAAAAAAAAAATAATAATAATAAAAATTATTAGAATTATGTAGATACATAAGAAGATTAAAGATTCTCTTCTCTTCTCTTTTTTTCCTCGATTGCATAATACTCTCACATTAACAAGAAGATAAAAAAAAAAAAAAAAATTTATTAATTAATTATTACACTTATTAACATAATTAATAATCGTTTAATTTTATTATCGGTTATAAATATTTAATAATAATAATAATAAAAAAATGAAAATAATTTAATTGTCAGTGTACAACCTTGTAATGTTAAATAATCATTTTTTTTTTTTTTTTTTTTTACTCTTCTCAACCTCGATCATTACTATCATCATCATCATCATCATCATCATCATCAATAATAATAATAATATTTTATTTATTTAAATTTAATAATTTTCTTGTTATTATTATTGTCGTTGTTGTAAAGCATCATCATCAGTTACTACAATCAAAAAAATCATTTAAATAATTTTTTTAAGAGAGAGAGAGAGAGAGTGAGAGAAAGAGAGAGGGAGAGGGAGAGAGGGAGAGACTGAGAGAAAGAGAGAGGGAGAGGGAGAGAGGGAGAGAAAGAGAGAGGGAGGGAGGGAGGGAGAGAGAGAGAGAGAGAGAGAGGGAGAGAAAGAGAGAGGGAGGGAGGGAGGGAGAGAGAGAGAGAGAGAGAGAGAGAGAGAGAGAGAGAGAGAGAGACAGAGAGAGAAAGAGAGAGAGAGACAATAGTTTTTGTGATAAGAACTCGATTACACTGATAACGTTATTTTATCACAGCCACAAATCTTTTTCATGTTGTTTTCATTATTTTTTTTTAAATTGTTTGCGAAATGAGATTCGGCATCCAAAAAAAAAATTTATCTGTCGGTGATTTCGGCTGTAGATAAATTAACGAAACCATTTTGATTTTCCCAATTTTGGTTGTTTTTTTTTTTTTGTTTCTCTCTAATTAAAGTTAAAAATCTGTTAATTGAAATCTTGACGACTTTGAAAATAGAAAAAAAATAAAAAAGGGAAAGGGATATAATAGATAAACAAGGTCTTTTTCTATGTATACATTCGAAGGAGTCGAGTCGACATGTGTAGTAATTACTTTTTTTTTTGCACAAGACACCTTCATTCAAGAATGAATGAATGAATGAATGAATGAATTAATGAATGAATGAATGGATTTCATCGTGTAATTAGCGTAAGCTCCCTAAATCGACTAAAAATTTGACTTTTGTATATGAAGGAAAAAAAAAGAAAATCTTAAAAAATTATTTAAATGGTAACATGTAACTGATGCCTTATTATTATTAATATTACAACTTTCAATAATAATAATAATAATAATAAGGTTAGAATATTAAAATTTTAATCCAAGGTTTTTTTAATCATCTCGTCATTAAATTTCAGGTTTCCTTTATTTATTTATTCTTATTTATTTAAAATAATTATTCGGTATTTATGTATAATTAAAATCAGGTTGTGCCATTTAAACGAAAATTATTTGATATTCGAAATTTCGATTATCGATTATCGATTCGCGATCTGACTTTATTATTGTTATTATTATTACGTATTATTGCCACCACTTTTACTGATACCACCATCGCTACTGCCACGCTATCGTCGGGTGGGTGGGGTGGGGTAGGGGGAAATCATGTTTTCATTACGGGTTAAAACTTACTTGTTTTTTTTTTTTTTTTTTTAATAACGTAAATAATATTTTTTTTTTTTACACGCGTCAGTTATTATTATTAATAATAATGGATGCCTTTGAATAAATTTTGTTTCGATTTCATTTCGCGTTAAATTAATGGTTAGTGATGACGTCATCATGGCGCGTGATTTCGACCCACGAAAATTTAACTTTTTTTTTTGATTGACAGAAATTGTCAATCCCCCCGTAGGTCAAATGAAACGAAAATAATGACCCTTTGATCAATTAATACGAATTTAAAAAAATTTTTTTTTCTTCCTTCATTTTTTTTTTTCTGACATTTTTAATGTGTGATCTAATAATAATAATAATGATAGTAATGTAAATTCGTGAATGAAACGTAAAATTCTCTCGGAAAAACGCGTACAAAGTCGAAATTCTTTCGGGAAAACGCGTGAAAAGTTGAAATTCTCTCGGGAAAACGCGTACAAAGTTGAAATTCTCTCGGGAAAACGCGTGAAAAGTCGAAATTCTCTCGGGAAAACGCGCGAAAAGTCCAAATTCTCTCGGGAAAACGTGTGAAAATTCGAAATTCTCTTGGGAAAACGCGCGAAAAGTCGAAATTCTCTCGGGAAAACGCGCGAAAAGTCGAAATTCTCTCGGAAAAACGCGTGAAAATTCGAAATTCTCTCGGGAAAACGCGCGAAAAGTCGAAATTCTCTCGCGAAAATGCGTGAAAAGTCGAAATTCTCTCGGGAAAACGCGTGAAAAGTCGAAATTCTCTCGGGAAAACGCGCGAAAAGTCCAAATTCTCTCGGGAAAACGTGCGAAAAGTCGAAATTCTCTCGGAAAAACGTGTGAAAATTCGAAATTCTCTCGGAAAAACGTGTGAAAATTCGAAATTCTCTTGGGAAAACGCGCGAAAAGTCGAAATTCTCTCGGGAAAACGCGCGAAAAGTCGAAATTCTCTCGGAAAAACGCGTGAAAATTCGAAATTCTCTCGGGAAAACGCGCGAAAAGTCGAAATTCTCTCGCGAAAATGCGTGAAAAGTCGAAATTCTCTCGGGAAAACGCGTGAAAAGTCGAAATTTTTAATCGCGCGCGAAAAAAATAGCAGACGATTTATTAACAACCACCTTTTTCGAAATTAAACAAACCGTTATCTATTGACACGTGCGTGTGGAAAAGAGGCGAAAAAAAATTTCCAGTAGTTTTGCATTATTATTATTATTATTTTTCTTCTCCTCCTTTATTAATATTCCAGTTAAAGACGTTTTTATTTGCAAAAAAAAAAAACTCGGTAATTATTATTATTATTATTATTATTAGTATTATTATTAATATTTTCTCGTAATGGAGGGCAGTCTCAGTCTCTTGTAACATTTAGGAAAACTAACGTCAAAGTCCAAGAAAAGAAGTTTTTTTTTTTTTTTTTTTTTTTTAATTTATTTATTCCAAGAAAATTTTTCTTCGAGTTTTTTTTTTTTTTTTTTTTTTCCTTCGACGAATTTTTTGTTCAGACGTTGTTCAGAACAACGTCGTCAGTACGCGCGTATCCCCGCACGCGAAAGGCATAAATATTAGTAAGTAGGGATCGCCTTGAAAGTGCCAGTGATAAAACATTATTTGCCGCGTAACAATCTATCTTGTTGTTGTACATCCGCACGTAAATATAAAAAAAAATTACCGTTTAATTTCGCGAGTTAATAGTAATAATAATAATAATAATAAAAGGTGAAGAAAAATCATCATTATTATTATTATCGTCATCGCCATCTTAATTCACGATGAACGGAAACAGATATAAAATTTTCGATTCTAATCAACAGGTTGGTTGGTTTGTTTATTTAAAAAAAAATGGTTTTTTTTAAATTTTTCGAGAATTTAGTTGTGAGTGTAGTTTCACGGGGGGCGGGCGAGCGGTGGAAGGGAGAAAGGGAAGAAGGGGAAGGGGGGAAATTTCGCGTTCGAAATCAGGTCTGAAAAGTTTTTCCAGGTTTTTTTTAAAAAAAAAAAAAAAATTTTTCTTAAGGGTGAAGTAATCAAATTGCCCCGGAAATATTAAAAAGGGGAGGGGCGGGGGCGGAAAAGTTTAAAAGAATTCCAAAAAGGGGGTAGGGGGAAATTTGCTGCTGTAAAAAATTTTCTTTTGTTTTTTTTTCTGTACATGAATCCGGTGTTGTAACGAATTGAGTTAAATTACAACGTTGTCACCTTGAATTATGTTTATCCAGGAAGGTAAAATTTATTTCCCCCTTCACCGCGCTCCTCTTCCTTTCCCCCCTCCCTCTTTCCTTCCCCTTCCTGCCCCCCCCTCCGCGCTAAGAACGCACCGGTCGTACTTGATGGGGCAAAAAAAAAAAAAAAATATTGTGTAATAGAAAAATTAAGTTATTATCATTTTTCGAATCGAATGTTTATTACGGGGAGGAGGAGGAGGAGGTTCGTGATCGTGGCAGTAGTGTAATAAGGTCGCGCTGTCGTGTCACGAGAATACGATAAATAAAAGAATCCGATCGTCGGAATGGATCACCTTTACACGTCTTATCAATCTTATCACATTAATCAAATTTTTCTTTTTTTTTTAAAAAACAATTTAAGGTGGTATGCCGCGTCGTCGGATTCGTTTTAAATTTTTTCATTTTCCCGCCCGTTTTTTCGTTTTGCCAGAAGGCTGTGGAAATATTTCCACAGGGTCGGATTTGATCGTCGACTAATTTTCTCTTTTAACGCTCGTTTTTTTTTTTCAAATCGGAAATTTAATAATAATAACAATCAACAACCGGTTGGAAAGTTGTTTAAACGAAAGTATAATTGAAATGTTTGTATTTCGTACGTCATAATCGTACAGGGTCGACATTTCCCCCCCCTCCCTCCCCGAAAAAAAAAGAAAATTGGACGTTTGTAAAATTTTCCGATTCGTTTCGTTTTTAATTTTTTTTTTTTTTTTTTTTCTATTGGCACGTGGAAAAAAATAAATAAATAAATAAATTCCAAGGATTTCTTTTTTTCTTTTTGTGTAAAAATGATTTATTAATAATAATAATAATTTTTTTTTTTTTTCTTCACGGTTAATTTGAGGTTTTTAAAACCTGGCGATGTCAGGTATATATAGGTATTCGTCATTGAAATTGTTTGTTTTGTTTAAATTACGTTTCCCATATTTATCGACACCGTGTGTGTTTTTTTTTTGCTGTATTCGGTTCGTTAAAACCTTTTTAGAACGCGATAATAAAGTCATTTAAATAAATAAATAAATAAATTTTCCAATTTGTATTTCTAATCACGAATTTTCTTTTTTCTTTTTTTCCCCCCCCCTCGCGTGAAAATTCACGTGGTAGGATGTAGGAGAAGGAAAATCTTCTTGGGTAAGAATACCACGATTTTTTCGTTTGACGCAGAAAAAAAAATAATAATAATAATAACACGCAGTAGTTGTTTGTTGTTTGTTGTGTGCTACTCGAGCTTGAGTTTAAATTTTAAAAAAATGTTGAGTTTGTGACGTAGGACAATGCATGGAAATTCTGGAATAAAATGTTATTATTATTATTATTAAAAATCAAATTTCAGGGCGTTCAAGTTGCCACGAATGTCACGGCTCAAAAACACATCGTTTCGAGAGACAAGAGAGGTCAGGTACTTGGAAACCTGAGGGGGTTTAGAGGATGCACGGTTTGGTTTACGGGATTGTCGGGAGCGGGGAAAACATCCATATCATTCGAACTCGAAGCGTTTTTGGTCAGCAGGGGTAAGTTCAAGGGGTCGTTCCCGTACAAAAGAAAGTTTTTTAATACGCGCGAAATCTGTTCCAGGAATTCCTGCTTACGGACTCGATGGAGACAACATTCGAACCGGACTCAATAAAAATTTGGGATTTTCGAAAGAAGACAGACAGGAAAACATAAGGAGAGTTGCGGAAGTTGCAAAATTATTCGCGGATTCCGGCGTCGTGGCACTATGCAGTTTCGTATCGCCTTTTGCGGAGGTAAGGGAATTGTGGGGGGAGGGGAGGGGAAAGGGGATCACTCAACATTATAATAAAAAAAAATGTGTTTCAGGATAGAGAAATGGCGAGGAGCATACACGCGGAAAGCGAATTGCCCTTTTTCGAAGTTTTCATAGATACACCCCTTCACGTGTGCGAACAACGAGACGTCAAAGGATTGTATAAAAAGGCGAGAAAAGGAGACATCAAAGGTTTCACCGGTTAGTGTTACCCCCCTACTTTATCCGAGAGAAAGAGAGAGAGAGAGAGAGAGAGAGGGATAGACAAAAGAAGAAGAAAAAAAACCCGGTAGTTTCGTATAGATCTTACGTAATGAAATCGCATTAAAATTTCGTGCGCAGAAAATTTTACACCATTATCATTATCATTATTATTTTTTGCTTCCGTTAACGAATCCGGATATGAAATTTTCACCGTAACGAAATTACCGCGCGTGACAATTTAAAATTTTTTTTTTAAACGATTACGTCATCTTAATTGTTGTCGTTTTCCTTTTGATCGTCAACTTCCGGTTTTTTTTTTCTTCTGTCTGTCCAGGAAAGAATGTGTTTTGCCAACAAGTAGAACATTCGTTTCTCCGGAAGTAGAAGACACTATTGAAAACGTTTATCTAAGATGATGGGGAGTGTAACCTTTGTTTTCTTTTTTTTTTGTTCCATTTCCGTTCCATTGACAAGGCGTCGATCAAGCTTACGAAAGGCCCTCGAGACCGGATTTGATTGTGGAAACTGTTAATACGACACCGGCGGAAAGCACATTACAAGTCGTGGAATTACTCGTGAGACACGTGAGTTGAAATTCGGGTAGTTTTCAAAGTACCCAAACGAAGTCCACGATTTGTCATCGTAAGGTGTTTTTCTTCCCCCCCCCTCCTCGGGGAACTTTTTAGGGAATTATACCGGAAACGACTAAAACGGGAGGATTGCTTCGAGAACTTTTCGTTAAAGAAAACGTTTTGGGAAACGTTTTATCCGAAGCTCGTACCTTACACAAATTGAACATAAACACCGTCGACCTTCAATGGGTGCAAGTGTTGGCCGAGGGTTGGGCATATCCTTTGAAAGGTTTCATGAGAGAAGATCAATATTTGCAGGTACGAACGACTTAATTTTAAAACAATAAGAGTATTAGTATTATTATTATTATTATTATTATTATTATTATTATTATTATTATTATTATTATTATTATTATTATTATTATTATTATTATTTTAAAGGGAATTTTTGAAATTTGGTTTTTTCCATTTCAGACTCTTCATTTCAATTCGATCGTCGTAGATGGTAAAACAATCAATCAATCGATACCCATCGTTTTACCCATCAAAGATGGCGACAAAGATAAAATAACGGGAGCAAAAGCGGTTTTACTCGTTCACGAGTCGAAACCCGTCGCCATATTGAGAAATCCGGAAGTTTTCCCACACAGGAAAGAAGAAAGATGTTCGAGACAGTTTGGAACGAATCACAAGGGTCATCCTTACATAAAAGTAAATCACACACTCGCGTCAAATTGAAAAATCTGTAAAGGGGAAGGGAGGGGAGTGACGAACGAAATTTTAAAAAAATTGTTTGTTTGCAGATGATTTACGAAAGCGGTGATTGGTTGATCGGTGGGGATTTAGAAGTTTTGGAACGGATAAAATGGAACGATGGACTCGACGAGTATCGATTGACCCCCAATCAATTGAAAGCAAAATTTAAAGACATGAAAGCGGATGCAGTTTTTGCTTTTCAATTGAGGAATCCTGTACACAACGGACACGCTTTACTCATGCAGGTAGAGTCTGGACAGGGTTTGTTAAAACCGTTGAGGAAAAGAGTTTTTGACAAAATGGATTTCTTTTTCTAGGACACAAGGAGAAGATTATTGGAGGGAAACAAATTTAAAAAACCAGTTTTGCTTTTGCATCCTCTGGGTGGTTGGACGAAAGAAGATGACGTACCCTTACCCGTGAGAATGAAACAACATCAGGCCGTTCTCAGCGACGGAGTACTCGATCCGGAATCGACAGTTTTGGCCATTTTCCCATCCCCCATGTACTACGCGGGACCCACCGAAGTTTGTTTTTCCTTTTTTTTTTTCCACGACGTTTCGGGATTTTTTAAAGATAATGATAACGATAAAACGATTATTGTAGGTTCAATGGCACGCGAAAGCGAGAATGAACGCGGGAGCGAATTTTTACATCGTAGGAAGAGATCCCGCGGGAGTTCCGCATCCGGACGCGAGTTTAAAACAAGATTTGTACGATGCCACGCACGGTGCGAGAGTTTTAAAAATGGCTCCCGGTTTGGACGATTTAGAAATAATACCCTTCCGAGTCGCGGCCTACGACAAAACGAAAAAACAAATGGCTTTTTTCCAACCGGAAAGAAAAGATGATTTCGAATTCATATCCGGAACGAAAATGAGAAGTGAGAAGGGAATCACGGGAGTGGGGGGAGAGAGAGAGAGAAATCCGGGAATTTTAATTTTTTTTATTTTTGTTTCCAGCTCTCGCGAAAGCGGGTGAAAATCCTCCAGATGGTTTCATGGCACCCAAAGCTTGGTCGGTTTTAGCTGAATATTACCAATCGTTGAGAAAGTAACGGGGAGAGGGGGGAGGATAAGGAAGAAGGCAAAAAAAAAGGAAAAAAGGAAAAACATATTTAAAAATCGTTTTTTTCTTTTAGTTAATTTTTTTAATTTTTAAAAATCATTATTATTATTAATATTATTATTATTATCGTTGTTTTTATATATACATATATATATATAATAAAAAATATTGTTTTGCGTCTGTGACGTAATAAGAAAAAAAATAATAATAATTAATCGTTTGTTTATTGATTTTTATTATTATTATTATTATTATTATTATTATTATTATTATCATCATCATTATTATTATTATTATTATTATTATTTTGTGTATAATAAAAGTTTTATGTGAAAATATATATATATATATTTATACGTATGAGACATAAATAAAAAAAAAAAAAAAACTTATTTTAGTCTTATTCAATTGATTAAAGGATTGATAACGAAGAAAACATTTTAAATTTCCCGCCAAAAAAAAAGGACGGGAAAACATTTAAAAAAAAAAAAAAATTTAAAAATAATAAACATATCGATTCGATTAGGTTAAATAAAAAAAGTGTAAGTAAAAAGGGAGGGAAAATTTGAAAACAAAACAAAGCGGCAGTTACGGATAGCAAAAGCAACAAGTCGAAAAAATCACGTACGTAATGATTGAAATATATATATCGAAAGAAATTTTTGCTGGGAAACAGCTGTTTTTGACATCTTTTGTTCGACGAAAAACTAAACCTAGTCGTAAAAAAAACAGTTTAGAGGTAAGTTAATGAAACTCAAGAAAAGTGTACAGTTAAACATAAGAAAATTTTTTTTTATGTGATGGCGTGAAATGTTGGTTATATGAAGAAAATTAAAGAAAATAATAAAAATCGTATAATTGATTTGATTTCTAATTGATATTTGCTAAAAAGTAAGTCTCTGACGATAACAATGATTTAAAAAAAAAAAAAAAAAAAAAATCTCGATCCCAGTCGTTGCCCCAATAAAATTTATAATTTTTTTTTTTTTTTCTCCTCGGGCGTTCTAATAATAATTTTTTATTTATTTTAATTTAATTTAATTATATTTTAAAAAATAATTTAAAAAATTAATTATTTTAATGATTTATTTATTATAATATTCGATTATTTAATTGACAAGGTCGTAAACAAAGAACAGCTGATTGCACTTACAGATGATATTGATTTCGTATTCGTGTGTGTGTGAGAGAGAGAGAGAGAGAGAGAGAGTCTTTGTTCCCCTTTAAAAAAAAAAAATTGAGCAACTTATTGCAAAAATTAACAATTTTTTTTTTTTTTTGTAATTATCTTTTTCTTTTTTTTTTTTTATTTAATAATATTATTTATTTGTTTAAATATGATTGATTGATTGATTGATTGATTGATTAAAGGTATATTATTACAATATGTAAATAGTATTGTGAATTCTTTCTTTTTTTTTGTTTTTCATTATAAAAAAATTCATATGTAAATTTTTTTTTATTTATTCATAATCGGGTGTAACACTCATTTTATTTATTTATTTATTTTTTATTAATAGAAAAAAGAAACCTTGTAAGTCATTTAATTATTATGTGGTATAAAACATATTTGTTTTATTTTATCAAATTGATTTTTAATATTCTCTTACCCCCCTCCCTCTCTCTCTCTCTCTCTCGGTGTTAAATCAATTTCGATATTATTGAAAATTCCCTTTTCGTTAGGTTTGTCGATTTCATGTTTGTTAAAATTTTAATGAAATTTTTTATGTTGTTTGCAGGTGTTTGCAGATTTTTTTTTTTTTTTTTTTTTGCAATATTTTCGAGGGGAGAGGAACCTAAGTGTTGAAAAGAATAAATAAATCTTTGTCACATTAGAGTCCTCCTTTGGAATCCCAAAAGGATGTCATCCCCGAGCGCAGGAAAAAGGAGAATGGATACTGATGTGATTAAGCTAATAGAAAGCAAACATGAGGTATTTCATAATTCCCCCTCAGTCTTTCCCTTCCTCCCCCACCCAAAAAGAAAAGTGAATTTATTTATTTATTATAATTAATAAAATTTTAAATGTGATTTAGATTTGAATCAATTGTGAATTTTTTGTCGTCTGTTTGTGTCGTTTAAAAGTTTCCGAGTTTATTTAAAACAACCTTTGGAAAATCTTTGAAAACTTTTACTAAACATTGTTTCATAATAAAATCAATAATGAATTTTTCAATTTCAGGTCACTATATTGGGGGGATTGAATGAATTTTGTGTTAAATTTTATGGTCCAAGACACACACCTTACGAGGGAGGTATTTGGAAAGTTCGAGTTCTTCTACCTGAAAATTATCCATTTAAATCTCCAAGCATTGGATTTATGAATAAAGTTTATCATCCAAACATTGATGAAGTTTCTGGTAAACATAATTATCATTATTAATAACAACAACAACAACTAACATGTTAACTACCTTTAATTATTATCATTTTACTCAAATGTTTGTGTGTAAAGTGTTTCGATTGATTTCATTTCGACAGGTACTGTTTGCCTAGATGTCATTAATCAAGCATGGACAGCCTTGTACGATCTAAGTAATATATTCGAATCATTTTTACCACAATTACTTACTTATCCAAATCCGATAGATCCGTTAAATGGAGATGCTGCCTCTATGTATCTTCACAAACCAGAAGATTACAAAAAAAAGGTTTGCATTGCTTTGTACAGTAGGAGGAGAAGAAGAAGAAGAAGAAGTAGTAGTAGTAGTAGTAGCAGTAGCAGTAGCAGTAGTAGCAGTAGCAGTAGTAGCAGTAGTAGTAGTGGCAGTAGTAGCAGTAGTAGTAGTGGCAGTAGTAGTAGTAGTAGTAGTAGTAGTAGTAGTAGTAGTAGTAGTAGTAGTAATAAAACAGGTTTTAATTATTATTATTTAACGTTTAAGGTGGCAGAATACGTTCGTAAATACGCAACAGAAGAAGCTTTGCGGGAAGCAGAGCAAAACACGCTAAGTTCAGACGAAGAAAGTTCCATGTCGGACTTTAGCGAAGACGAAGCACAAGACATGGAATTATAACATTTTTTTATCACAAACGTATTCACAACTCGTCATTATCATCATCATCATCATCATTATCATCATCATCATCGTCGTCGGTATCATCCGGAAAAATCATTACATTCAAATGAAAAAAGGAAAAAAAATAAAGGAAAGAAAATGAATAAGAAGAAGAAGAAGAAGAAAAAATGAGGGGGAAAAAAAATTCATATTCATCACTATCATTAAAATAAATAATAATAATAATAATAATAAGGATATAAGATTTATGAAAATAAATAAATAATAATAATAATAATAAGTAATTAATTAATTAATTAATATGTTATTTAATTATTTTGTAAAATATTAAAAAAAAAAAAAAAAAAAAAAAAATTTTTTGTCTCCGCTCATTTTATGGAAAAAAAGGAAAAAAAAGGAAAAAAAAAAATTATGTAGTAGTTGTGAGATTATTTTATTATTATTATTTTTTTATAAAAAAAAAAACAAAAAACAAAATGGAAGGAAAAATACAAAAAAAAATTTAAAAATTATAAAAAAATGAAAAAATCATTGTTTTATTTTGTAAATTGAAACGTTGTAAAACACACACACACAACAACAGTAATAATAATAATAATAATGATGATGATGATGATAGTAATAGTAATAATAATAATAATGATGATGATGATAGTACTAGTAATAATAATAATAATGATTTAAATTAGTTTTGATGTGGTAAAAGAAAAAAGGATCATAAAGTAATATAATAATAACAAGGAATTTTATTTTTATATATATGCAATTAAATTTTAATCATAATCATCATTATTTTATTTAATTAAATTATTATTATTATTATTCTTGTTATAATTTTGTCGTTATTAATGATAATAATAATAATATCGTATTAATTTTAATTTTTTATGTGGTCAGGATTAGAATTAAAAAAAAAAAAAAATGAAAAAATTTGAGAAAGGTAATAAATAAAAAAAAACAATTGGATGAAAATTTAACGGATTTTATTATTATTATTATTAATTAATATTTTGTATTTATAAGATCGTAAACAAACAAACAAACAACCAAACAAACGCCAATATATATATATATATATACGTGTAAATTATAAAATGAAATGAAATGAAAAAGAAAATTTTTTTTTTTTTTTTGGTTTTTTTCTCGCCATTTAAAAAAAAGTTTAATTAACGATTTGAATTCATAATTATTATTATCATTATTATCATTATTATTATCATTATTATTATTATCAGGGAGTAAATAAATTGATGAAGAAAAAAAAATGGTTCGTGTAATTTAAACAAAAAAAAAAGGAAGGAAGGAAGGCGCACATTACAATTATTATTATTATTATTAAACATTTTTGATTATTATTATTATCATCATCATCACGATCATATTTATAATATTTTAATTTATATATATATATTATTTTTTTGTTGATTTAAAATAAAATATAAATTTAATAATATATTTAAGGGCTGAATGGATAGTTTAGATGATTTGTGTAAATTTTATATAAAACGGTTAAAAATTAAAAATTAGAGATAAAGAGTACAATTTATGTAATAATTTTACATTATTATGTTTTTATTATTTTATTTTATTTTTAGTTTAATAATATTAATAATATTGATAATAATGATAATTTTGAAAAAAAAAAAAAAAAAGAAGTTTTTTAATAAATAAGAATAATAATTTTATGAAGAAGAAGAAAAAAGAAAAATGGCGGATTGATTTTTTTTGTTTTTTTTTTTTTTTTTTAAATCATTCGTTGTTATTTATTTAATATGTTTGTTTGTGGAGGCGGGGGGAGTGTATGTGGTAACGATGATTATCAACACCCCTTCCTCCCCTGACCCACTCACTACACTACAGCCCTTAATTTTTATTAATTAATTAATTAATTGTTTTTTAATTTTACTTTTATTCGTTTTTACTGTTTCTTTCTCTCTCTCTCTCTCTCTCTCTCTCTCACAGACTTTTCCTTCGTTTTTTTTTTTTACTTTTTGTAATGGTTTGTTGTTTGTCAAAATGATAATAATAATAATAAGTTAAGAGCAAATGGAAACCAATAACAAACACACAAACATTTAAAAATTTTCGTTGTTAATTTGAAATTATTTGAAAATTTGTTTTAAAATCAAACTTCTCTCTCTCTCTCTCTCTCTCTCTCTCTCTCTTTCTCTTTTTTACTCTCTCTCTCTCTCTTTCTCTTTCTCTTTTTTACTCTCTCTCTCTCTCTCTCTTTGCTTCATTCACTCTCTTTGTTCTCTTTCTCTCTTTCTTTCTTTTTCAGTCTCTGCATCTCTTTCTCTCTCTCTTCTTATTTTTCAGTCTCTCTCTCTTTTTTTACTCACTGTTTCTATCACACTTTTCTATTAGCCACGCTGTTTCTTTTCACTCTCTCTCTCTCTCTCACTTTCTCTTTTTTACTCTCTCTCTCACTTTCTCTTTTTTACTCTCTCTCTCTCTCTCTATCTATCTATCTATCTCTCTTTTATGTATTTAAACTTATTTCTGACGCCAAAATAAAATAAAAAATTTTTTTATTAAATTAATGGCAAAACTTGTAAATTATTAACAAACAAAATTTTTATCATCATCATCACTAATAATATTATTATTATTATTACTACAACTATTATTACAATTACTGTTGTTGTTGTTGTTTGTTGCTTTCCCGCCATAAATTACAAAATACAAGAATTAACACGTCGGATTCAAAATTTTTTTTTTAAATGTAAATTTCGCGCGCGTGTGTGTGTGTGTGCGGGTAAAAATTTTCGTTACAAAATCCATTCAAAATTGTTAATAATAATAATAATAATATTATTATTATTATTAATTTTATCGATTTCAATAATTTTTTGCCGTTTGCAACGATTTTCGAGGGTAATTTTTTGTTTTATCGTTTAGATAACGCGACGGTGGCGGCGGTGGTGGTGGTGGTGGCGATAAAGAAATTAATATCATAGATAAATATGATAATGACGTCATCGATTTTATCACGTGACTTCTTCACATTCTCACAAGATCGCATTTATTACTACCACCATCATTACCGTCGTCGATTTTTTTAAATAAAATTTTATTTATTTATTTTTTGTTATAAATAAATAAAATTCGAGTAGATTTAGTTTATTAAAAAAAAGTGTTTTAAATAATTTGCTGTCGTTAAATTAAAACTAATGAGTTTTTCAAACAAAAAAAATTGATTATTATTATTATTATTAATAATTATATAGCTAATGTAAATAATTTTATTTTCGAAATAATAATAATATAAATTTTAATAAATTATTCGTTTGTTTTGTTTGTTTTTTTACATACGCGACTGGATAATAATGATAATTAAATAATAGTTTCCATTAAAATTTTTATTTTGAAAATAACAGTTTAATAAGTAAATATTTATCTGGTAGCTTTAACGGCCTCGGTAGCGCAGTAGGCAGCGCGTAAGTCTCATAATCTTAAGGTCGTGAGTTCGATCCTCACCCGGGGCAGTTATATTTTTTTTGAAAAAATTCTCCACCTCGATTTGAATCATCGTCAAAATTTTTTTTTTTTCCTCTTCTTATTCGTTATTTATTATCCTTAAATGGTTTTTATAGATACCACGTGACACATTTATTATTTAACATTGGATAAATTATGCGAATTAAACGGATATTAAGATAAACAACAACAAAAAAAAAAACAAAAAAAATTGATATTGACAGAAAATGGCGGTTTTCATTAATACGTATCGCGGTTCCTTTATAAATTTAATACCACGATTGTAATTCGATCGCGTTGTTTATTAAAAAACGGTAATAATTGTAAATAAATAAATCAATAAGTTAAAAAATATCTCGTAGTAATGCTGGGTCATTTTATTACAAAATGTCGTGTTTACAATAACAAACGAATATTATTGGTTTAACTATAATATCCAAGGTCACACTTACACTCGTGCATTTATAATAAACGTTTAGGCTATCAGTTAACAGTGAGATTTATTATTTAATCATGGCAACGGTTAGATTTATAAAAAAAACATTGTTTTTATCAAACGGTTTTAAAAAAATTCGTAATAATAGTTGCAGATGTTATGCACAACATTATCCAATTGATGATGACGTTTACGGTTTAACGGATGATCAAAAACAGGTACTTATGTTAAATATGGGGTTTTTTTTTTTTAAAATGATTACATTTTCCATCTCACTTTTTTATTTAATTTACCTCTTTTTTATATATTTATATAATATATATATAGTAAGAAATCATACGTTTTCGTAACTTTTATAACGAGAAAAAACTTTAAATTCAAAGAAATTAAAAAATTTACCTTAAATTCAAATTGATAAAAATTTCTAGGTCGACATGTTGAATTGGAATGATTATCATAGAGTAACAAAATTTTCTCTCTCTCTCTAACAATACCGAATAAATTTTTATTTTTACTGCTTTTAACCGTTATAACGATTTATGTTTGTCAAAAAAAAATACGTTTGTAGGTTTTTTTAAAATTCAAAATTAATTCTGTATGTAAAAAGTTTTTAAAAACGTTAAAGTTATTTTATAATAAGTTAAATTCACTTTTCATACTTTTTTTTTTTTAAATACATCTTTTTAAACAAATTTTCAAAACGATCAAATTTAGTTTAAAAAAAGAGAAAATTTAGTGAATTTAGTAAAAAAAAAAAAAAAAACATTTAAAACGCTTTAAAACGTTAATTTTGATCCATGATTGATAGGAAGAAGAAAAAATTATTTTAAAATGAAATTTCCGCCAAAACTTGTTTTCAGTTAAGAGAAACCGTTTTCAATTTTGCACAAAAAGAATTAGCACCAAAAGCAAGTGAAATCGACAAAAATAATAATTTTTCATCATTAAGAGTGAGTTTATATTAATAATAATAATAATAATAATAATAAGATTTTCATGACGTTCGTTGAATGCTTTAATTTTCAATTTTATATAATTTTGTGGGTTTAAGGAATTTTGGAAAAAATTAGGGGATTTGGGACTTTTAGGAATAACGGCTTCACCTGATTATGGAGGGACAGGAGGAACTTATACTGATCATTGCATCATTATGGAAGAATTATCAAGAGCTTCTGGTGCCATTGCTCTCAGTTATGGAGCTCATTCAAATTTGTGTGTAAATCAAATAAGTAGAAATGGAAACGAAGAACAAAAAAAAAAATATTTACCCAAGGTAATAAAGATCAAAAAGAAGAAACAAATTTTAATCGTTGAAATGATTGGACATAAATAAAAAATTTTTTTAAATTTTTTAGCTTTGTTCTGGAGAACACATGGGAGCATTGGCAATGTCAGAACCTGGATCAGGTTCAGATGTTGTTTCTATGAAACTCAAAGCTGAAAAAGATCCATCTGGGAAATTTTACGTTTTGAATGGAAACAAATTTTGGATTACAAACGGTCCAGATGCAGATGTTCTTGTGGTGAGTACAAATTTTACTTTATTTTAAGGTTTCAAAATTACATTTAAAGTTTAAATTACTTTAAGGTTTATGCTAAGACAGACACAAAAAGTAAACCACAGCATGGAATATCAGCATTTCTTATCGAAAAAGGATTTGAAGGTTTTTCGACTGCTCAAAAATTAGATAAATTGGGTATGAGAGGTTCTAACACTTGTGAACTCATATTTGAAAACTGCAAAGTGCCAGGTAAAATGTTTTTTTTTTTTTTCATTTAAACAGTAATTTTAGTAAGTTATTTATTAATAAATAAATTTTGTAGCTGAAAATCTTTTGGGACCTGAAAATAAGGGTGTTTATGTTCTTATGAGCGGATTAGATTATGAACGATTAGTATTATCCGCTGGTCCAGTAGGTTTAATGCAAGCTGCCTGTGATGTAGCTTTCGATTATGTTCATGTAAGAAAACAATTTGGTACAAAAATAGGACAATTTCAACTATTACAGGTAAAATATATAGTTTTTAAATTTAAATCTCGAATATTATTCACCCTGTTAATTTCAATGAATGTTTTTTTTTTTTTAAGGGTAAAATGGCTGACATGTATACAAGGCTAAGTGCTTGTCGTTCATACATGTTTTCTGTCGCTCGAGCTTGTGATGCTGGAAAGGCAAACAAGAAAGATTGTGCAGGTGTTATTTTATATTGTGCTGAAAATGCTACACAAGTGGCTTTAGATGCCATACAATGTTTAGGTAATGATCACATTAAGTCTTTCGATATGTTTAATACCTATTTTAAATGGTGATAAAATTATTATTGTTAATTTCGAAAGGTGGCAATGGGTACATCAATGATTATCCAACTGGTCGTTTACTTAGAGATGCAAAATTATATGAAATTGGTGCAGGAACAAGTGAAATAAGAAGATCACTGATTGGTAGAGCTTTAAATGATGAATACAAATGATAAATCATAAATGACAAAATTTGTGGTAATTAAAAACTAGAAAAAAATGTCTCTCGATAAGGAGGAAAAATAGTTTTTGTTTTTAGTTCAACAGTCACATTAATCGACTCTTCCTTTATTTAATTTCAGATATTCAAACCAGTGAATAATTTAAACAAAATGACAATAAATAAAAAAAACATTATAAAAAATAAAATGGGTAAAGGATTAAAATTACATCTGATAAATTATTACTCACATGAAATAAATGTTTTTTTTTTTTTTCATTCTAATAATAATAATAATTATTTATATTAATTTGTTTTTATTTTGAATGTTTACAAATCCGTTATTACGACAAAGCAACAAGTCGATTTTACAAAAATGAGTTGTTTGCAACAGTGTACTTGAACGACTTGTTGCAAGTAAACAATAAAATGGCAGTTTATTAAAACTTAAATACTTAACCTATCTAATTAATCCGGAAGAATAATTTTCACAAAGAGAAGACAAAAATTTTCAACTTTATTATTAATTTAGTAGTTTTTTTATGAGAATAAAATAATGAAACAACGGTTTATTTATTATTATACAAAAAACAATTTATTTAAAAATTTTGACTTTAAATTGCCGTGTAAATAATAATAATGATAATTTAAGGTTTAAATTAAGAATGTTATAAAAATATTTAAATGATGTCACATATAAATATAATAATTTAATTAAATAATATGAGATTTTCATTAAAAAGATACCTGATATTTTTATTCTTTGTATATGTTTTACTATTTGCATGGAATTTTATATCAAGAAAATATGGAAGAAGTACATTTTTAGAAACTTGTAATTTTCCCAAGAAATATCAAGATGAATTACACATATTTACCAATGAGTAAGTAATTAAATTTAATGTTTCAATGTTGAGCAAATAAGTTTGTTATTTTATTCATGTACGATATTATTAAAATTTAAGTTTACTTTTTTTTCTTTTTTCTGTAGGGTTCATAAAATTTTAAAAGTTTTAAATGTAACACATTTTTTATGTTATGGAAGTTTATGGGGTGAAATAAGATTTTCAAGGGTTTTGCCGTGGGAAGATAAATCAGTTATGTGTATATTAAATGAAGAAATATTAACCAAAGATGAATTATCAATAATAAGAATTTTTAAAAATAATGGATTTTATATATCATACCAAAGTTCGGAGGGTCAATATGTTGTGACAAAATTAAATAGCGATAAAAAAATGAGAGTTTTACTCGTTTTATTCGAATTGGATAAAGTGGTTTGTATTCATTTAACTACTACTACTACTACTACTACTATTACTACTACTACTACTACTACTACTACTACTACTACTACTAGTACTACTACTTATTTAATTATATAAACTTTTCCTTATTTTTTCTCGAATAAATTATTAATAAATTTTAAATTATAAATAATTATAATAAAATCCCTTTAAGGAAAAATTGATCAAATGCTTTGATATTTTAATTAAAACAGGTTGAAATGTATAGAAGAATAGGATGGAAAAGAAGATTTCTTCCACCCGATTGTAGTCTTGAAAGTCTCGATTGTTTTCCTCCGAGACTTATAATACCTCCATTACCAATAAAAGAATTTGGTGGATCATTAATACCTGCACCGAGAGAAGGGATAGAAATGCAAAAATATCATTATAAAAATAATTGGTGGAATGAAGTACCCATTAAAAACTGTTAACCATTCTCTCATAGTATTTAATAATAATAATAATAATAATAATAATTCAAACAGTATTATTATTTTTAATAAATGTTAAGCTATATATGTTATTAACAAATTTTCTTAATTTTTTCTTTCCGACTAATCAACAACTGTAATTATCGAATTTAAAATCTCTTTTAAATAACAAATCAAATAATAATAATAATAATGATAATGATTTATTATCAAAACTGACAAAGTTTGTCTTCTGCTTTTATTCATATTTTTAAACAAATTAAACTGAATTCATTAGGATAAAATAATTATTATTAACTTTGTTCGAGTTTTTTTTTTTACTGCATAATCATGATTGTTTTTGGATATTTATATAAAATGGTAAAATTTAAATGAAATAATAATGATAATAATGATAATAATGATAATAATAATAAGTTAAAAGGGAATTAATAATATTGTTGTGTTATTTATTTATTTATTAAAATATAATTTTATATAATTTTTTGTTTTGTATTATGTACTTGTAAATAGATTTATATATATATAGTATTATATTTGTAATGTGATTTTTTTAAATAAATAAATAATTATTATTATTATTTCGTTTATTTCATTATTGATTTTTTTTATCAATTAAAATAATTATCATTATTATGATTTTGATATAAAAAATAAATTAATAAGACGATCGTACGTATAAAAAACATTACCACGTAATAAAAATAATAATAATAATAAAGAAATGATTTTATTAATTTTAGTTATCGCATTATTATTATTATTATTATTATTTCATCAAAACAATAAAATTTTCGTCTGCTTCATCATCATCATCATCGTTTTTTTATTCTTATCGAAACCTTTTTTTTCCCCCAAAATTTAATATAAAAATGTTTTTTTTTTTTTTTAGAATGAGACATATCACGTTTTGCTTATGAAACTAAACGATGAAAAATGTTAAATTTTGATTGGTTGATTTTTTGTCAAAATGGCGATTCGTCGACGTTAACTCTTGGCTGAGAGTGTGAAGGCGGGGTTTTGTCTTTAAACGAACCTCTCTCTCTTCAGAGATTTGTTTAAACTCTATCTCTCTCTCTCTCTCACTCACTCCACGAGCGTCGTAATATATATAAAAATTTCTGACCGTTAGCATTTATGTAAAGTATCACAAACGATTCGCATGTTTTTTTTGTTTTCACATAAAATTAAGTCGATAATAATAATAATAAGTCGTCAGTTTTTTTTTCTGACATTTTTAATAATAATAATAATAATAAGGATTTTTTTTAAATGTGATTATTTTAATAATAACGGATTTCGATTGTGATTTTATTTTTTAAACAAAATGGATTAAAAAATGTGTGGGTTACGTATTCGATTGAATTTTTTTGTATAAAATAATAATAATAATTTATTATTAAAATGACTATGAGTTGTCCAGAAGTTATGTATCAGGCTTATTATCCTTATTTATATCAGAGAGCGAGTAGCGGTGCTGGAGTACCAAGACCGACTTTTCCATCTCCATTTACTCATCAATACGAAAGAGTAAGTTTTATTTATTTATTTATTTATTATTAACTTTTTTTTTATATGTTTAAGAACCATAATGACGTTTCATCATCATTATTATTATTGAACATTCGAAGTGGGGGGAAGAAGGGGGAAGGGGGAAACCCATTTTCATTCCTTTTTTTAATTAATTTCAAGACAACCTCAACTTTCTTTTGTGTTTTTTTTTTTTTTTTTTAATTTTCTTTTCCCCCTTTTTTTTTTCCTTCTGGAAAATTCTTTTAATTTACTTTAAATTTTTCTTTTTTTCTTTATTTCCTGTCGGGTGGAAGGGGGGGGCGGGGACGGGGGCGGTGTGGAAATTTATTTTCGATCCGTCAGAAATTCGGTTTTTAATTAATTTCATTTGTAGAATTTAAATTTTTCAAAAAAAAAAAATCCCCCCCCCCCTGTTTATTATTATTATTATTATTATTATTTAAAATATTTTGGCGCCGTTTTTTTTTAAAATCATTTTTACTTATAATAATAATAATGATTAATCATGTTGATAAAAAAAAATAATCTCTGCCCCCCGAAAAAAAAATAAATAAATAAAAATAAAAGAAAGTTAATACGATATTATATATATAGTAATTTATTATTATTATTATTATCATTATCATTATCATTATTATTATTATTATTATTATTATTATTATTATTATTATTAATTATAATTTATAAGGTGTTAAACGTGACGTAAAACAGACAAATCGTTGTCGCGCGCTTTTGGTTTCCCTTTCGCTTTCGGCGTCGTCGTCGTCGTCGTCTGAACAATGAAAAATTTGGATTTGGATTCGAATCAAAAAAAAAAAAAAAATTACTTTTTTAACCTTTTTTAACATTTTTTTGTTTTATTTTAATTAAAACGTTTTCTCACAGTTGATTTAATAAAAAATAAGAAGATGATGATGATGATGATGATGGTGGTGGTTAAGATGATGATGATGATGATGATGAACCCTTAAAAGAAATTTTTAGTTTTTTTTTTTTGTGGGGGGAAGGATGGTTATGCCGTTCATTAAAGTGTGAAAGGTTTTAACGGTTAATTTAATTTTTAACTCGCATTTTAAAAATAATTTTTTTTCAAACCCTTTCCCCCACCGCCCCCCGTCGGATTACGGTTAAATAAAATGGCGAGAAAGAGAGAGAGAGAAAGAATGATATGGTTTTTTTCACGTTCGTGCCGAAGGAAGCTTTTTCTAGAAAAAATTAAGTTTTTTAAAATTTTTTTTACGGAATCAACCCTTTTTTAAAACCCCCCCCGCACCCCAGGCACCCATTATTAAACGGGAAATTTTCTTTTCCG